CAGCCCCGGGGAGGCTGTGGCAGAAAGCGCCACGGGAGCTGGACCCGCTCCGTTTTGTAACCACATCATCCTCGGGGGTACTCACAGGTCAGGAGGGATGAGATGGGCTGCAACTGGGAGCAGGATTTGGAGGATATTATGTATATATAATAAACATATCCATATTGGTGGGTATTTGATGGGGTAAGTGGGCATCAGAGGGGAGAAAAATCAGGTTTGCAGCGCGCCCTGGCCCATGGGCGCTGTGCAGCTCCAAGGCGGTGGCGGTGGTGGCACCCACGGTGCCTCCATTGCTGCTCCAGGCAGGATCAACCCCTGCAGATTCCCGTCTCTGACCCTGGCAAAAGGCAGAGCTGGGGCAGCCGAGCAAGGTGGGATTGCCCGGGATCTCTGCCGGGACTAATCCTGCTGCCCCTTATCAGATGCTGCCACCTTGCCTCCGCTCGCTCCGCCGGCCAAGCCGGGCGCAGCTTGTGTTATCCGGCCCTTTATCCCCCAGATTAGACGCTTCACAGTGGATTAGCATGTCACATTCTAATGCAGAAAATTTGATGATTAAAAAGGAGGTTTTTTGCTCTGTATTATTCCCCACCTCCGCCTCCTCTCCACCCCGTCCCCGCCAGGCCCGGGTAGCCCAGCCCCAGCCATGGGGACTGGTGATGCTGCGGCGCTGGGGGATGCAGGAGCCCCATCCCTGGTGCGCATGGGGTGGATGGGAAACCAAGGGTCCCTTTTTTAGGACCGAGCAGGGTGGAGGGGTTGGGTACTCCAGGTGCCCATGGCATCCTGCCCCGGGTTATTGGCCACAGGCTCGGCATCTGCAGCGCAGGACTTTAATAAAAAGCACATTATGGTGAGTAATGCGCTAAGTGGACTTCATTACAGACCCGGGGCCTCCCCGGCTGCCGTTGTTCCATATGATTTCATATCAGCCGAGCCTTATCTCCTCTCCAAACGCTTCCATTTAAACTCCATTAATCTTTCAAAGCTTCCCTGGGCCAGCGCTGCCGAGCGTTTCCCAGCCGGGTGCTCGGGCGCCTGCAGCCCCACTGGCTCGGGGTCTTGGGGGGGCTCAGCCAGGACCCCCCGCAGCTCCGTGGGTGGTTGAGCTCGTACCCACGGCCAGGCCCTACACTGTGCATCCGCTGCGACTGCTCCCACAGCCACCATCTCCTTCTTGCCAGGAATCTATTCACGCTCCTGTAATTGAAACAGTTTGTAATGCCGAGAGCTTCCCGGGTGATTTCCCCATCGGCGGTGTCCCTTTGTGCCGTGGAGGGGTCACCGGGACCCGGTGCCGGTTCCTGTCCTGTCAAGATGCTGCCGAGCAGCCAGGATTATTCTGTACGGACACTTATCCCAACGCCTTTCCGTGTTTTCTGCCGATCACGAATTACCCATAAGCAGGTTGTGATTTTTTCCGACATCCTTCACAATTGCTTAGACAGTTCATGCAAGCGGATCCAAGCCGACGGTTTTATTGGTGAGGAAAAAGAAAAATAAAAAAAAATAAATTGTATTCCTATCTGGTTTTCTTGCTGCGTTCGCTCGCTCTGGCTCTGCACACATCACGGTTTTCAAATCTAATCTAATCCAAGCAGGGTGGTTACGCAGCCCCGGCGTGTGGCTGCTCTGGATGGGTCTCCCCATGGCTTTACCGGTCTCCAGCGCTGCTGGAAAGTGAGAAGGGAGCTTAAAATCCTCAATAATCCGGAGGGTGCATGGGAAGAACCCTGCCCCAGTGCCATCCTGTGCTCCATCTTCATCCTTACAGTAAAAGCCTGGATGTGAATGCACCAAACCCACCATGCAGTGCAGACAAAAAAAGAAAAAAGTTCCCCCCAAATAAATAAAAGGTTGTAATATCCAAGTGTCAGGGCCTGTATAAATAAATAACAGCCCGAGATGCTGAGGAGCCGCTTGAGTCATGGTTGTTTCGGGAATTGCAGTGATGCTGCTGAGAGAGCCCCGGCTCCGGCCAGAATCTCTGCAGGTGATAAAACAAAGGTGTCTGTGAAAAGGCAGATAAATTAAAACGCAGGCGAAAGGCCCTGAGACCGCACATTTCCCAGATCTTCCTGTGGAGACCTCAGCTCCTGCGTGGCTCTGCACGCTCAGGGGGGACCTGCATCCCTCTGCCCCCAACATCTCCCTGCATGGTGTGGAGAGAGAGAGGGAAAACGGCACCAGGAGGCTTCCTGGGCAGATTCCTCGAAATGCCCGCAGTCAGCGGAGAGGTTCAGGGAGAAGAATTTGTAAAAATCCTCTTTTCTGGTGCTGGTCCAGAGCCGCATTTCCAGCCCACGGCTCCTGCAGGGACTGGCATCTGTGGGGCATGGGGTCCCCCATCCGCAACCGTGACAGCCTCCACCGCAGCCGGACGGCGCTCGAAAGCCTCCTCCTTTCTTCCAGCAGCCACAGCTGCCATTAAACCTTAT